CCCAAGAGAGTTACAAAGAATACCTCTAGCACCAATACAGCTAGAAGCAACTCGACGAGACCCATCCACTATGTGTGTTTTCAAGCTCAATGTGGATGGATCTCGTCGAGTTGCTTCTGGCTATATTGGTGCTAGACTCTCTTGGGGAATGGCATAGAGGTTTCGATGTTAATTTGAGGAAAGGTCAAGTGCTGGAAGCTACATATTCTCAACGGCTTTACCAGTGGTTATAAAAGCTTTAAACCACGCTTAAGCCGTAGCAATAATAACCTTTCTAGGACAAAAAGGCAACTCAATAATAGAGTTAAAAACATGATCATTCCTCCATTTCCAAATGATCCAGCAGGCAAACACAAAAACAATTTTCCACGGGAGTTGCTCCACATCAACATTAGAACACAAATGACTACAAAGCCACAATCTAAACTCAGAACAAAAGAATCTCCCAAACTGCCTAGGACTCATTAGTTGGTCCCAAACCATATGAGCCCTCGAACAATCCCTTAAAATATGCAACACAGATTCGATCCATCCATCAAAATGCTGACAAGAAGGATCAGAAGCTAAATGTCTTCTAACCCGCTGCTCATTGGAAAGAATCTTTCCTTGATAAACCAACTAACAGAAAATGTGCAATTTAAAGGAATTTTTATCTTCCACAGAGTTTTCCACCAAGGATCAGACCACTCAGAGCCTTTATAGAACAAAAGATAAGCTAACTTAACAGAGAAAATACCATTAGAAGTAGGATACCAAATCTAAGAGCCATGCAATTGCCCACTTCCGAGCTTAGCCACATCCCACCAACCATCATTAAGGAAAGAACACTTCGGAGCTTAGCCACAACAAACAATTCTTTGAACCATCTCCTCGGAAAGAACACTTCGGAGCTTAGCCACATCCTACCAACCATCTTTAAGGAAATCAGAAACACTACACTCAAGATCAACCTCATTCATCATTCCTTGATGCTGTAAAAAGGGTAAAGAATCAATCCATCTATCTTGCCAAAGCATGATCTAGTCCCTCTTTCCCACTCTCCATGTCAAGCCTTTAGCCAATAACTGGGAACCAAACACAATGCCTCTCCAAGTGGAAGAGCAGCCTTGTCTAGGAATCTTGTTAGCCTTTAAGATGGACCTACCTTTGAAGTACTTCTTCTACAAAATCTTAGTCCATAGCCCTTCATCTTTTTGTAAAAGTCACCAACCAAATTTAGCCAGAAGCGCTTGATTCATATAATGGGATCTCTTAAAACCCAAGCCACCCAAACTTTTAGGTCTACACACAAGATCCTATTGACAGAGATGAACCCTTTGGTTCTTTGCACTACCACCCCAAAAAAAATTCCTATTAAGATGATCACGCTCCTCACAAATGCTAATAGGAAGTTTGGCAGTTTGCATAGTATACACAGGCAGAGCAGAAGTCACAGCCTGAATTAAATGCATAGATTTGTCAATTTCATCTTCAATGTTTCCCTCTTTCTCTTCAAAAATGGGACTGATGTAATTTATTTTTGGTTTATGTTGATGATCTTCTTATTACAGGCAAAAATTCATAACTTGTGGCAAAGTTCATTCAACTCTTAGCCACTCGGTTTTCTATCAAGGGCTTGGGCTCATTACATTACTTTCTTGGTGTTGAGGTCCTTCTCACAGCCACTGGTCTATTTATCTCTCATCAAAAATACATTCATGATCTCCTGGTCAATACCAAGATGGATGACGCAAAGGTTGTCAATATGCCACTCTCCACCTCTGACTCACTTGTGCTCCATGATGGCTCCTCCCCAACTGATGCCACTCCCTACCATCGTCTTGTTGGTGTTCTCCAATACCTAAGCTGTAACACCCCGACCCAACAAATTATTTTGATTTAATTATTTAATTGTGCAATTACATTTTTGCCCTCGTGAATAGGGGCACTTTAGTCACTTTTTGTTTCAGAAGGATTTTGGGGAATGGAGTGACACCGTTGCATAGAGCTCGACGATACGAGTTCCTAGACAGGCGGCAGGTTCAATTCAAAGTTAAAACGAAGAAGTTATGATATACAGAAGTATAGTGGCACAACCGTAATTTTTGTGAAGTCAAATTTTAAAAATCTGCCAGCTCTCTTTCTCTCTCATTTCTCTCTCCTCCCCTGTGCATCTCTCTCTCTTTCTTCTCGAAAAAACTAGACCAGCCACGTTTGGCCGGCGTTCTCTCAGCTCCAGCCATGCCAGCCGGCGCCACCACCCACAATCTCTTCGTCACTTCCTCCTTTTCATGTCTATACCCATTTCCACCTTTGATTCTGCAAGTATAGCCACGATTTTGGATTGAAACTAAGTCAAAAACCCTCATTTGACACCGGCAATTTTTAGGTGTTTTTCGACGACTTCGGCCATTGATTTCGTCGATCTTGGTATGGTTCTTCACCTACTTTTTGTGCTCTATCTGTTTATGTGGGTAGTTTAGATTGATTTTGATTTAAGAGATTGTTCAAAATACCCACTTAGGGCCAACGAGTTTGGCCGTGTTTTGCTAATTTCCAGCCACTTTTTGGCCAGGGTCCAAGAACCAAAATTGTTCCCCTTGTTAGTATGATTCTATTGGTATAGGTATTGTAGGGTGTTTCAAGAATTTTCCTTTGCCAAAATTTTCTCAAGACACCCGCCGCTGTCGGTGGCTCGTGGCAGCCCGTGGGCCACTAGGTGGCAGCCCAATTTGGTTCTAGAATGTTCTCCACGTCGCGCTTATTATGTGATATCTGGGTTCGATAGGTTTTGACTGTTCGATCGGTTCCAATTTCATTTATGTTGTGTCTGGTACCTCTAGGATCGTGTAGGAACTTGCGGATCGAGAATCGGAGTCCCGAATACTCTGAGTCAATGATTCTAGGGTTAGGTGCATCGATCACCGTACGATCGTGCGATTGGCTTAGATCCAACCGTTTGATCGCGACCAAATCTTCGAGACTTGTTCAGTAGACTTTGTTGGACCTATAGGAACTTTTGGATCGAAAAACGGACATCGTGGGCCTCGCGGGCCCGGTTGACCAATGTGGAAACCATGAGTCTTTCGAGAGCGTCTCATCCTTCGAGAAGTAATAAAATGGCCCTAGGAACTTCTTAAAGGTTGTGCACATTGTGAGACTTGAGAACTAGAGTTTTGAGTTAAAGTTTGTTGTTGGGTACGTTTATTAATTAAGTCCGCTTATGGATTTGTTTTTCAAATATGGAATTGCTTGCATAAATGTGATTTGATTGGAAATTGGTTTATTTTGGGTTAATGAGGTTATGGGATTTTCTTATCGGCCTAGTCCCGGCTTTTACAATGTGATATTGGATTTCAAGGGAATATTATTATTATTATTATTATTATTATTAAAGTATATGGTTGCGGGTTTCGGACTTTGGTGATTTTGGGATTGGCTGATATTGGGTTTGTTTATGAAATTTGAACAAGGGATTTGGTTTTTATGGATATTTTTATCATTGTCTTATGAGATTTTCGGTGTCAGTTATATTGGTTAAGTTATGAATTTTGTATATTGAATATTATTGTTTTAATTATGATATTATCGGGATGTGTTTGGATTTGCTTACTGAGAATTTATTTTCGGATATGATTTTTGGAAATTTGGATAACGTCGAGATTTGTCAATGAAATGCAAATCTATGTTGTGCCCTGATTTAGGGGAAAAAAAGTTAAGGAAGAGATTAGATGCTACTTCAAGGATGAATGTGGTTAAAATCAATGATGTGGAGTATAATGTGCTTGATGGTGATATGAACGGTCTCGTGCACTTGCAAAACCATAGTTGTACATGTAGGAAGTTTGACTTAGAGCAACTCCCGTGCAAGCATGCTATTGCGGTATGTCGGCACTTGAAATTGAACTCATACTCATTTTCCTCTTCGTATTACACTCGAGCTACATGGTCAGCTGCATATGTTGAATCCATTTATCCTGTACAACCTCAAGGGACATGGGTTATTCCCGAAAATGTCCAAAATGTAAATCTCCTCCCTCCTATTTAAAGGTTATGTCAGGCCGTCGTAAGACGCAAAGAATACCTTCTAAAGGAGAGGACTCACAAGAAAGAAAATGCTCAAGGTGAGGTGTGAAGGGCCACTATCGAAGTACATGCAAAGAAGCTATCCCCGTCACTAACAAGAAGAAGATCATTTAGATGTTACAATTGTTTAGTTTGTATGTCTCATTCCATTAGGTGGGGATCTTTGCTACCTAACTTTATGTACAATTTGTGTTCCTAACATGTCACTGTTTTTGTTTTTGGAAATAGGTATCCTTATAGGTACCGAATTGTATAGATCATGATGCAGGTATTTGTAACATTTATTGAATGTGCATGTATGATGTTATGTGCATGATTGGTGTAGAAACGTAAAGTAGGTGGCTAGAAACTTAAATTGAACTGTGGTGCAATACAAGGGCAGTGGAATAAAGAGGCAATACAAAGAATTCATAGTCTAACTACAATTTGTTTGCCAAGACAGACATGAAGAAAGAAAAAAATGTGGTAAGACTGCAATAGAGCAGCGAAAGGAACACAATAAAAGGCCAATAAGAAGGCAATACGTAAACCTGGAAGTCCAACTTCAGCCTTATAATTGTCAAGAAAGAGGTGAAAAACAAAGTGCTAAGACAACAATAGAGGAGCAATAGGAACACAATAAAAGGCAATAAGAAGGCAACACGTAAACATGATAGTCCAACTTTAACTCTATAATTGCAAAGACAGAGGTGAAAAACAAGGTGCTAAGACAACAATAGAGGAGCAATAAGAACACAATAAAAGGGCAATAAGAAGGCAATACGTAAACCTAACAGTCCAATTTCAACTCTATAATTGCAAAGAGAGAGGTGAAAAACAAGGTGTCAAGACAACAATAAAGGAGCAATAGGGAGGCAATATAAGGGCAACAAGAAGGCAATACGTAAACCTGATAGTCCAACTTCAACTTGATAGTTGTCAAGACAGAGGTGAAAAAAGAGTTAAGACAACAATATAGGCACAATAAGAAAGCAATAAAGGGCAATAACAACGCAATACATAAACTTGAGTTTATATTGCTAGGCTACTTATTAGCTAAACATATACATATGCAGTTTCTCTATCCACTCTAGTTTCATGGTTACTAATTCATGAAACCACTACTAATAAATAAGGAATAGCTGATCATATCAAAGCGCAACTAATATCCAATTCCACTCCTATTACAACAATGATTATGTGGTGGAACAAAACTGGTGGCGCATCTTCATTTCTCAAAGCCATCTTCTAACCGTGTAGAAACCAGTAGCTTCTGTCCAATCTCGAACCTCCAAGTGATGAGCTGTGTTATGAAGGTGAAATTCACTCGCATGTGTAGTTCCCCATTCCCTGTTTCTGCAACATTCCCAATTGCTTTTTATTCACCAAAGTATGACAACAAAACTCAAGATTGAAAAAAGTGTAAGTATAAACATTAAGTTAAAGTCTGTGAATCTCTCACATTTGTAATTGGAATCATTTAGGTTCTAACATTTGGTATTGTATGACCAAAGCTTCCTACATAAATTACAGTACTTCTCACAAGACATTCATGCCCTCTTACATATGAAATTCCTATTGCAAACACAATCAAACCATTCAAACTTCATACTATGTGCATTGTACACCCCTTGGTTTCTATATCATACGAAGTTAACTTGCCACATCCATAAAACCAACGCAAGCAAATGAAAATTGAGAATCAAAATATAGTTTTCTGTATCAATTGTCATCGATGACTATGAAACTATGGGAATTCGTAATATCCTAAACATTAATCACTTACTAGACGACGAAATTTGATAGCTCTGCAACTTTAGCTCTACACTCACCTAGGTAACCTACAAAATGAAAATGGAAAGTGCATAAAAATTCCTAAAGATCAGTTACTATCAAGTATGATGTGTATAATCTATTAATTAAGGGAATGACCAACTACAGTATTATTGGACATTATTTGGAAACTTCATCAACGAAAGTGGATCATTATTTAGATATTGGACATTATAATTCGGAAGAATCATAAAAAACTAAGCAAATTTCATTATTTATAATTGGACATTATTCACAACAGTTTTTGCAAAAATCAACTCAGCAAAGTCCATCGAGAACCAGTATATCCAAACTTTATTATAATTTTATAGCATTTTGAATCAAGACACAAAGACGCAAATTAAGACTTACATATCGGGTAGAAGGATATAACATTGGACCCATGATACTGTGGGAATCAACACAAAACTATCAAAGTTCTCCAGCAAAGGGACCAATATTCACAAATAAAGAATGCCAGCAACTGAAACCCAATTAATTACTTGCAATTGGTGATCAATCTCTGTAGTTGGGTGGGTCATGTGGTGGCTTACTAATTATGTAACTCGTTGGAAAAAAAAATTATCACAGAGTTAGGAACAAATCTAAAGACAACAAATGCAAAAGTTTTGAGTTGAATATGAGTTGTAATATTAGGAACCCTAACGACTTAATTGTGCAAACTTAAATGACTTATTTTGACAAAATAATGAAATAAAAGCACATAAAAAGAAAAACAAGAAAACTAGGGATTGAGAAGAAAGAAGATTGTCATTACCATTCTCTAGAAATTTTGAAAATGACCTTCTTGCGTTATGCCTTTCTTCCAGATGCGCTATAATGCTATGAATTGATTCGCCGTTCTAGATGTGCGATGGGGACGACAGAGGACTACGAGAGAGGAAGGAAGAGTTGGGAGGAATTGGGTTTCAGAGAAGGATACATGGTCAATATAATATCTATTTATATGAAGGGCAATTTAGTACTTTCACATGAGGAAGTGAGTATTTGTGGTTAATATTATTATCACAGAGTTAGGAACAAATCTAAAGACAACAAATGCAAAAGTTTTGAGTTGAATATGAATTGTAATATTAGGAACCCTAACGACTTAATTGTGCAAACTTAAATGACTTATTTTGACAAAATAATGAAATAAAAGCACATAAAAAGAAAAACAAGAAAACTAGGGATTGAGAAGAAAGAAGATTGTCATTACCATTCTCTAGAAATTTTGAAAATGACCTTCTTGCGTTATGCCTTTCTTCCAGATGCGCTATAATGCTATGAATTGATTCGCCGTTCTAGATGTGCGATGGGGACGACAGAGGACTACGAGAGAGGAAGGAAGAGTTGGGAGGAATTGGGTTTCAGAGAAGGATACATGGTCAATATAATATCTATTTATATGAAGGGCAATTTAGTACTTTCACATGAGGAAGTGAGTATTTGTGGTTAATATTTGCAAAGTGAGTATTCTTGATTAAGATTTCTGGTTTGTGAGTATGTACGTGCATTTCCCTAGAACAAAACATGTAGAGATTGATCAAAACTCTATTTATGAGAAATTGAAAGAGAAGATTATTGAAGTTCCGTATGTTAAGACTAGAAACAATTGGCGGATATGTTGACCAAGGCCATATCAAATCAAGCCTTTACAGATTCACTTGTCAAGCTGGGCATCTACGACATCTATGCATCATCTTGAGGGGGAGTGTTGGCGTGAATCACTGAATCACAATAGGAATTATAGACAATTACCTTTACTATAATTGATTTGTAATTATAGGAATACCGATTTGACCGGGATTGTATTTGTTTCCTTTTTCCTTATTGTAATTACTTCCTAGATAGACATCTATTTGTATCACTATAAATACTTCCTTGTTAAAAGAATAGAAATATACTGAATTATTCATAACTCTAAATTCTATTTGAGTCTTGGTACCTTTTCGTTTTGACGAGAGAGATAGAAGACTTGGCATGCACCCAACCCAAGTTCCCAATTACCTATGGCCATGGTTGGTGGTAAAATGGAATTTGGTATTTACAAATGAATTTGGATTATATAAAAAAAAAAATCTAATCATTACGATTTCTTCATCATTTTATGATTTTGTAAGATCCATATATGAAAAAGGGTCACCTAAATCATAAAACATTTTAACCATTTGATGAAATGGTAGCAGTTTTAGTTTTAGTTTTTTTCCTCAAAGATGATCTGAAATAAAATCTTGAGAAATCAAATGTTCATATTATTGAAATACAATATGAATTTAGTTTTATAGGAAGGTCTTTCAAATAAATTTATTTAAGAGATCATTTAATATGATATATATATATATATATACAGTGGCGTCCAGGATTATGTGGCCAAGGGGGCTTAGTGTAAAAGTTCCAAAATTTTTCTACAATGAAAATAATGCTAAAAAGATAGAAAGATAGTACTTCCATTCATAATTCATAACAAAACCAATAATACAAGTTACAATTGTCCACGACGAGTTTTCATATTTTGAAAACGTTGCATTATAGTTTCATTATCAATACAAGCAAAAACATCTCTCTCAATGTAAACAATCAAACTATCATTCAACCATTGATCTCCCATTCTGTTGCGAAGTGGATTTTTAATAATATTCATGGCGGAAAATGCTCTTTCCACTGAAGCAGTTGCAACTGGTAAAACCAAAGCCAATGTAAGAAGCAATTGTTTCAATGTTTCAATGTGTGTAGTTTGATGCATCAAATTGTAAGCAACTTCTCTAGCTTGGTTGTGAACACTACCAACCGGTCCAACATGAAGGTTAAATCTTTCTTTCGCCTTCTTCCAATTATTAAAGCCAACCCCAGTGAATGCATCACCACCCACTCGATCAAAATTAGATTTGAAGAGATAACAATGAAGACAAAACGCAGCATCTTTAGCAATACTATATTCCAACCAATCATGCTCATCAAACCATTGAGCAATGAAGCGTCTATTAATTCTTGTTTGATTAGTTTGTGGGAATTTATAACTTCTAGGCTGACAAGGTCCTTTTGTAGATATGCTCTTCGGATCTCATCTCGAATATTAGGACTATAATCCGCCATTCGAGTTCTTAGTCCAGGGTCTGCCTGAAGATTAGCTAATATTTCATCTACTTCAATTGGTCTTGCATTTGAACTACCCGGATTAGACGGAGAAGAACTATCCGTAGATAATTTTCTTTTAAAGAATCGTTCCATAAATCTACAAATCAATTAATTCAATCAATCAATAATTTTTATCCAAATTATCATATGAATATGAAAATGTCAATAACTCACTCTCAATATTCAATATACCCTCTAAACCCATATCAATCAATATTCAATATATCAAATTATCATATCAAATATCAATCAATATTCAATATACTCAATAAAGCATAAACTCAATCAATCTATTACCCATCAATATTACCCCCTAAACCCATATCAATCAATATTCAATATCTACCAAATTATTATATCAAATATCAATCAATATTCAATATACTCAATCAAGCATAAACTATCAATCTACATTATCCATCAATATGATCAGTTGGTGTGCATATAAGGGGGCTTCTACTAGCAATCCAAGGGGGCTTTCATGGATTCCCTTCCCAAATTTCCAGCCTTCCAAGGGGTCGTCTGCCCCCCCTTGTCCTAACGTCGGTCCGCCTCTGTATATATATAAACATAATATAAACAATTCATTAAAAAAAGTAGAAGAATGAAGGAAAGATATAGTGAACAAATAAAATAAAATCTGGGGTGTTAAAGAGTTGTCCCGTCTCAGTTAGATTAATTAGTAAAAAGTGCGCCAATGGGTTTGATTTAGTGAAAAAAAAAACATTGACTTGTAAGCTAATAATCTCATGTTCAAACCTCAGGGCACATTGACAGTAGGTTTGAAATCCCCTCCCCCTTCCTAATTTTGGGAAGAAAAAAAAAGGAAAGTAAAAAAATACACTCCTCATATAGCAGAGACGTTCCGAGTTACTGCTGCATGCGTGTGGTGGGTCTGAGTAGCTAGCTATTGATCAGCTGTAATTGCTCAACAAATCTGCCAAAAGAGGCTAAAGCCACCACTCTCCTTGTACGAGGCTATGACCGGATCAAATTAATAAAGGTCCCACATATACAAATCAACAAGTTCTCATGCTGCTCTTTGTGTAAAAGGATATTGCGGTGAGTTACAAGTTACAACTTACAAGTCTTCATGTACGTACAAGACACAGCTATATTCATACCTTACCCAATTCAACTCATTAATACTCGAGTATATTTTTATTATTGTTAGTACTATAGGGCTTTGTTAACTGCAATAACCCTTTTGTACTCGAGTTTTTTTATTTGGCCTTCTAACTCTTCCATTAAAACACGAGCTAGATGACCAAAATAAAAGTCAAGTATAAATTCAGAAACTAATGAAATTAAAAACTCCAGTACTGTATTATAATAGACATATAAGTAATATTACGTGACACGTAAGAATTTCTTTTGTTATAAGTCCCGTACATGCATTTTTAGTAAGAAAAATAATGAGGAAACAACATTTGTTACTAGAAAGAGTGAAATATTAGCATATATAGAAGCATGAAGACTTGTGGGCCTTAAAAACTAGGAAAGCCAATCAAGAAGACATGTTGTCAATCAAGCTGACAACGGGAGAAGGAAAAAAAACAAAATCAAGCTGACAACCACATCAGCAAAAGACCCAACAAGGCAGCGGGCGGCAAGGCATCCATAAATAAATGAGAGCATTTTTTTATCACTATTTTAACCCATAGTGTATCCTTATCATCCTTCTCAAATGTTGATACATGTCCATAGATTTAATCATAGTTAACTCTTTATTTTTTATTCACTTAAATATCAAAATGGACCAATTGTTTTACTGTGCAATTTGGTCTCTGATTTTTCAATTTGACACTCAAATGTTGATACAAGTCCATAGATTTAATCATAGTTAACTCTTTATTTTTTATTCACTTAAATATCAAAATGGACCAATTGTTTTACTGTATTGGCCAATTTGGTCTCTGATTTTTCAATTTGACAAATTTAGTTCCTGTGTTTAGACATGTTAGCCAATATGACCCATTTCGTTAAACTTGCCGTTAAAAAAAATTTAAAAGCTATTAAATATTAATTAAAAAACTATAACTATTTGAAATCAATTTATAAATAAATAAATAAATAAGAACTAAAGAAATGAAAATGAGATCTAAAAACTAGAATAACAAAAAACAAAAGAGACCACCATCAGCGCCTCCCCATGCCTGCCTATCAGATCCCATCACACCACAATCTCTCCTTCTTACCAACAACAACCCACTCCCGCCACTTTCCCAACCCAGACCTCAAGGTCAACTCCCCAAGCCACACACACCACAACCACCCCAAACCACCCAACCTCTAAGCTCTCTCTCTCAAGAACAACCCAACTGTTGGGGAAACACCAGTTTCCCTCCTCGTCACAGCATAACCCGACGGAAGAAATACACAAAACAAACCAACAAGCTCAAGATGACAATGAGTAAATACATGAGAGAATACACCAAGAATTTACGAGGTTCAGCAAAAACCTACCTACATCCCCGGACAGTATTGTCAGTTTTTCACTATGAGAATATTAACCGTACAAAATACATATTGAGTTAAATCAACATAACTCAATATAACACTCAAGAGTTTTATAACCCAAACCTGAGTCCCTTGTACATCCACTCACAGTATTTCCCAAAACTCACTGTCACTCCCCAAGAGATATATCATCTCTTGAACCTTTGATGAACCCAGCTAACTACCACAGCTGAAACATCCTCCAGGAATTCATGGGACTGCTTGCTTGCATCTCACAAGCAACCCACTCTCCCTCTCTGCCGTGCTCTCTCTCTATGGTGCCTTTCCTTGGTGTGGCTGAAGCACACCAGCCCACACCCTCATGCCTTTGGTGCGGCTCACATGCACCCTTCCATGGCTTCCTGGAGTTCCCCACATCTCTGCCGTGGGTTCTCAAACTCCCACTCTTTAGCCATATGGTGCGACACAAGCATATGCACACACTTATCTCACATCCTTGCATGCCCATTATATAACCAAATGAAAGGGCTGATTTTTTATCACCAAAAAACAGCCCACGTGCTTGCCAAAGAAACCAGCCGCATGCCCAAGGAAGCCCCACAATGATGTTGGTCAAAGAATCTCACCCATCATTGCACCTTGTCTCCCACCAAAGCCATCATTAATACAAAAACTATTCCTCCACTAAGGAGGAAACCCAAGGCGCCGAAAGCATGTGCAGCTCCCCCATTTTTCTTTTCCTTTTCAGCCATCAATTAATGACCATGCATGCATATCCCATACATGCATCCTTGTGATTTCCAAAGGGAAAAATACCAGCCGCACATCTTGACTCCACTAAGGAGGGAT